GGCCATTTGGGGCGATCTCAAGCTGCCGCGTCTTCTCCTCTAGCCACCCACGACATCATTGACGCGGAGGTGACCTGCAAAGCCGCCCAAATGGAGGTGTCCATCTCAAAGTGCAAGCTGCTCCAGCTGGGCTTCGAGCGCGAGGGGGTGCGGGTCAACGACCGCCAGTGCCCCGGCATCGAAGGGGAGGACTTCATTTCCTTCCAGATCAACAACACCAAGGGCAACTGCGGCAACCTGGTGCAGGTGAGCCGGGGCGCGCCTGGCCGGGAGCGAAGGTCGGCCCGGTCGTCTTGGCCGTCTTCTCGGTCATGCAAACCTGAGGGCAGAGGAGGCGGGGGAGCGTGCCTGTGTGAGTCGGCTCGGCGGAATGACAGGGACCCGGGAGTCTGCCGGAGCCCGGGATGCACGCGGAGCTCCGCCCGTCAAGCGGGGCGGCTCACGTTCAGGCCGTAGGTCACAGGCGGGCTTCGTAGCACGCGGGGTCTTTCGACGCGGGGTCACCGCTGCCCTGCCGAGCCGCGTCCCGGTCCTGAGGAGGCAGGAGGAGGCAGAGGAGGGGTTGGGAGGCTGAGGCGAGCGGGTTGTGTATTCTGAGCCGTTGTGTAAGCAAAGAACCATGCTCGGGGGCGTGGAGGCAGCAGGGCTTCGTGCCGGCCGGGACGTCCTCCTGCCTGGCGGCAGCGGCCCCGATTGATGCCGGGGTCGGGGCGGGGATGCGTGTAGGTGCGAGCGATGCCTGGGAGGTACTTGCGTAGGGTAGGGCTTGGGGAAAGGAGAGGCACGTGTCGTCGAGTAAGGATGCTGCCCAGCGGTTTGTAACCCCGCCGTACCGTACCCTTTCTGGCCAGAGGCGGCGGAAGGGTTCCGGGACGCTCGGCCTCTCGCGGCTCATTTAGGGGCCGAGGCGCTCAGGCGCTGAAGGGCTTGCTAGGAGCAGGGGAGCAGGGACGGCCGGTCTGGAGAGACGCCCTGCGCTCCTTTGGCAGTCAAACAGCACGCACATAGTGTACAAGAACACGGTGTGGATCGAGAGCGCGAACAACACGGGCAACATCATCACCCGGGACCGAACCATCAACGTGGAGTTTTCCTGCGCCTACGAGCTGGACATCAAGATCTCCCTGGATTCGGTGGTGCGGCCGATGCTCAGGTGGGAGCCGGGGGGAG